TATTTTATTTTATTTTATTTTATTTTATTTTATTTTATTTTATTTTAATTTATTTTATTTTATTTTATTTTATTTTATTTTATTTTTTTTATATATTTTTTACTCTTTATTTTTTAATTGTATTTTATTGTTATTTTACTCACCTTCACTGCACAAACCGGCTCACGCGTATCTCCGACTAAAAACGTCACATCGCATAACTCTGGCATTGACGCCAAAAATTTCATATCCTCGGCCAAGCCGGTCTTATTCTCGAACGTTGACAAATCTGGCTCCGCATCAGCCATGCCGGGCAATGTTAGAGCTTCGGGCATTTGGTTTTTCTGCAGAATAGTTGGGAGTAGATTTTGTATACAAAAGTTGCGAACGAGTAAATAAGTTATTAAAAATTATAAAAATTAAGACATACTTATGCTTAAAACTTTTAACTATTTACTTCATTTAAAAAAAGTAGAAATTTATAGTTTTTTCATGCAATATTAAAGGTTTAATTCACAATGGCGTACATAAAGATGCGTGAAGCATGTTTTCGGAATACATAATATGTACAAAATAATCAAAATGACTAAAGGCAGTGTCATACGATCGGTACATTTGTACAGATATGTAAAATTTTTCTATTTGTCGTTAGTACAAAATAAAAAATTTTGGTACAATACGGCGAACTTCTATTGAAAAATTTCAAAAAATTTCACGATTGGGATAAGGAAAAATATTTGTGCATTCACACGATTGGAATACGATTTGCACCAAATTTTGGGCAAATGCCTAATCGTGTGACACTGCCTTAAGATTCCATAAAAAATATTACAAAGTTCTCAAAAGTTCTGTGTACATGCTCCATAGTATGGTTTTATTGAATATACTTGTAGTAATATTTTAAAATATTAAGGGCCGATTTCTAGTCTGCCTGTCAAATTTGTCGCTCCCATGTTTATAATAGGCAATCGATATAAAGTCGAGAAATCAAACCGGCCGTAAATTTTTAGCAGACAGTCAAGAAAATAGACCTATGTATCACCATAAGCTTTCAGACAGTTGAGTAGATCATTGGGCAGTAAAGTGCTCTCTAGATAATGATAATCTCTAATGGCCGTGTTAGAATTCTCAAGATTCAGCGGAACAGTTAGGAATTTGGGGGCTACTATTTAGATGATACATTTTTTTATACTCCTTTAAACCCGCGACGACCACAGCTAGCTTTTACTCTAGATGTGTGTTTCAAAGTCCATTGAGACCTTTCCAAAGCTTATTCCAAGAGACATATTATATATATGTACATAGTATTTTGGTTGAGATATTCTTAAACTTGAAATGAAATCTTCAGAACTAGATACTTAAAAAACCGATCGAGTGGACGAAATAATCATAAGATAGATCCAGTCCAAGTTATCTGAAATATTGCACACTATGAGCCCGGCCTTCAGGGTGGTATGTTCTCGCCTCTCTTTTGGTGTTAGCTTTCCTTGAAACTCGTTGGAAACTTTCTTTGTCGATAGCTAGAACCGAAGATATATGGCCTCTAGAAGGTAACTTCAGGTACTTTAATACTTTCGTAGTAATGACAACGATTTTTAAATTGGAAGTAATTAAAGTAGACTCGATAATTAGCGGAAGATGGCGAAAGATTCGTTGCAAAATCAAAAAAGCTTGAACTCATATGCACAACGTGGCACTATGGTGCTCAAGCTGGCTAGAGAATTGATGACTTACGATTATGTGGAGCCTTCAATAGGACCGGACCCAATTATAGGGCCAAACATAGTGAGTGCTGCCAGGTATGTATATCAAAGATCCCAGGACTAAAGCTCATGCGCAACCGTTCTGAAGGGTCTTTCCTAATGGAATATGACCTCGGAACGTTGAACAACCCTCCTTATAGTCCAGATGAAGCGCTTTAAGATTAATTTTTTCCAAAAATTAAACCATGAGCTGGGAGCGATGAAAATTTACTGTTCATGAGAAAAAGAATTCTGCAATATCTAGCTACCTAGATAGATAAAGTTTATGAAAGATCTGAAAAGCAAAAAGTCCCATACCATAATACGTCCATTCATTCTCTAATACCACGAACTTTTTGACTTTCCTTCTGATGTACATATCTACAGTGATTAAAAAAAAAAACATCACGTGTTGATTTTTTAAACGATCACAATGTTTTCACATAATTCAAAATTTAAAAAAAATTACAAGAAAAAAACCAACGAAAGTTTTTTATAAATTGTACTTGTTATATAAAAAATAAGCCGTCAGCCAAAAAAATGTATAAAAATCAACGCGATTTTTTAGACTCTCGAAACTTTTATTTTATTGCATTAAAATTCTATGGTTTATAATATTACAAAAAAAAAAAAATTCTTTAAACATTCAGATCGAAAAGTTGCAAATTTTTTTGAAAAGTTATTGAATTTTTCTAAACTGTGTATAAATTACGAAATTTTGATTTATATGGTTTTGGTTTAAGCATGAAACATATTTATCTAAAAAAAACCAACAAACAAATTTTAATTTCAAAAACATTTTGAATATTCACAAAAAATCAACAAGTGAACACTGGTTGGAGTCACTGTTTGTAAAGACAAAATTCCATAACTCCATTTTTTCTGGCTATCTTTTTATGTTAACAATTTTTTCATAATACTTACCTGTCACGGTTATAAGCTAGCTACACGCTATTGTTGTTGTAACTGCTTTGCTTTCGTTTATTAATTTTTTTTATTTATAAACGGATTCAAGCTAATTGCGAAAATCCGTTTCAACTTAAATTTCATATCATTTCGTTTTAAATTTCACAAACATTTTGGAAAACATTTTTCTTATACTTTATGCACTTTTTATAATTATATGAACGGGTACAAATTTAGGAAATTACATAGTTAGTTTATGTACATAGATATGTGTATACAAACAAGCAAAAACTGCAATAGTTATTAATAAAGGGGAGAAAAACTGTTAGTATATTTTGCACATAGTATACGTAGAATACACGTAATGGAATAAAAATGGAAAAAAATTTAATAAGAAATACTTTACTAAATTCCCAAAGGGGATAATTCAAGACAAAAAGGTATGCAAAATAAGTAAAAAGGTACACAACTCGCATTCTACTCTACGGGCGGCTGGTTGAGCGAAATGTGGTTGCACTGGTTGAAGAATATGGTTAAGTGATGAGCGCGGAAGGACATAAAATGTGCGAGTAGGATTTAGATATTTCTATTTTATATTTTTCCAAAGAGTAAAAGGGAGCAGAAATCGTGATGCCAGACAAAGTAGAGAAACAAAATGAAAAAATTTTTACGAATATGTGTATGAAATGAAAGAAATATCAAATAATTTTTTTAAGGACTTTGAGACACTTTGAATGTGTTGGGTGTATTTTGTTTAACTATATCAAAATTGGTGGATATATACCAAGCAATATGTATGTATGTATGTGCATATGTACAAATGTAGGTTGAGAATTTCAAGTGTGTAATATCAAATTTTGTTTTTTGTATGTATACTACTGTACACATTTGGGGAGCTGCTGACCTATTTCGTCGTTTGAGCGGGATGTCCATATGTACTTACGTATGTACATACATACAAAAGTACATGTGTACAGACTCTTCGTTCCATATTTTATTGCAAATATTTTAATATTTTCATTTACGCCAGATCCGTCGTATCATGCTTTTGCAATCTAGATTTCTAAGGATACATAATGTTAATTCTAATTACTTGTAAAACTCAAACTTCATCTAAACCACAAACGCTTTGCTACATTCAACTCTGATATAAAGACAACCTTAACGTAAATCAATCTTTAGTTCTAATCCTGAATTTATCATGGATTTGTGTTCCAACCTTTGACTGCTTATCCCTTAAAATACCTCCTTACTTTTATTTATCAGTTAAACTTTGATTTGAGAAATATCTTATAATTTTTGACATTAAAATTTTTTATGAAAATTTCGAGAAAAATATTTTTGGACAAAAATTTTGTTGAAAATTGTTTATGGAAATTTAAGAGAAAAATGTTTTGGAACAAAAAATTTTTTGATAATTTTTTTCTGGTTTTCGTTGTAAGTATGTAGATAAAATTATGTTTTTAGAATTTGTTGCTTTTTCTTTTCTTCCAAAAACCTTTAGAAATAGTTTTTTTTTTTTTGATTTTTTGTATATTTTATCGTGAGAATTTAAGAGGGAAAGGTCTGTTTATTTTAAAATCAAACAAAAACATTTTTGTATGTAAAGAAAAGCATAATAAATTTTTAATATTTAAAAAAAAAGTATAATTTTTTTTTTGTGGGCACGAATCAAAAAAAAAAATACTTGGAGAACAATTTTTTTTTTTAATTATTGCAAAAATCTTGTAAATTTTACGATTTCGCTTTAAAATATATATAGAAAAAATGTGCTTTAGTTTTTTTTTTAAGAAAATTTGTAATATTTTTTTTTGTAAAGGAGAAAATCTCTTTGCTAAGTAAATTTTGTTTGGAAAATAAACGAATGTAAACTACTTCTAATAAATTTTAAATATTCGTCTTCCAGTCTTTGTGATTGTTTTGAAAAACAATTACCAATAAAAAGTTTTTAATTTTTTTCTAAAAATTTTATATTATAATTTGAATGAAAATTAACGATAAAGCAAATTTTTTTATGTTGAAAAGATTAATATAAAATTTTATATATTCGTTTTCGATTTTTGTTGGTTTATTTCGAAAAGCAAAACAAAATTTGCTTATTATTTTTCAAATAATTTTTGATAGCCAGTTTTACAAAAAATAATTTTGGATGAAAATGATTTTGTTGGCTTTGCCTTCCAACTTCTTCTTTACCTTGATGAAAGCTATCAATTTTTTTGTTAAGAATTGGGTATATATTTTTTTTTTTAATAGTGAATTGACCTGAGTTTTAAAAATTGCTTTTGTAGAAAATATATTCAAAGCAAAAATTTTAATACTAAAAAGTATTATCTTGTATGAAGCTTTATTTTGTGCATTCGTTTTCAGTTACTGCATCAAATATAAATAAAAATATAATACATAAAACATATATGTATCGATAAATGAAATTACCTTGCAAAAATGGATTAATAAAAAATCGTAGTGGTCTTTCATGAACAATTTGAGCTAAAAAGTTTGTGATGTGATTTCGTGCGGTACTTAATGTTTTGCTTAACAAAAATCCGATACATTTTTATTCATTTTAATTGGTAAACAATTTTTGTGCACGTTCAAGGATAATTTAAAAGGGATCATAATTTGGAAAACAAAAATTTTTATATTATTTCAAAAAACGAAAATTTTAAAACGATATTTTTTCAAATATTTTTTGTGAATAAATTTGAGGGAAAACCCTCTTATGAATGAATGTAAAAGTTTAAAAATTTTAAATTTCAAACTCCATACAGCCATACTTTGATTTCATGAAGCAATTTTGTTTAGCAGAAATTTTAGAAAATTTCGATATTTTGTTTGCCAAAATACTATAATAATCTTATATTTTGAGAAACATTATACAGAAAAAAATTAGTGAAGATAAGTTTTGAAATTTCGAAAATCGGAACACTTTGAATATTTTTAAAGGTTGTGGAAAATTATTCATTTTTGAAAAATTTGTATGTAGGTACAAATGTATGTGTATAAAAATTTTAAATTTAAATTTTGATTTCGTGAAGAAATTTTGTTTAGCATAAATTTTAGAAAATTTTTAGTAATTTCTTTTTGCCAAAATATTATGAATAGCATTATTTTGAGAAAAAATTTTGAAAAAAAATTAGTAAAAATAAGTTTTGAAATGACAAAAATGGGACCACTGGTTTTTATTAGTACTTGTGTGAAAGTTGGTGAAAAAAATTTCAAATTTTTTTTAATTTTTGAAGATTTTTTAATCTACAGATATGTATGTATGTATTTTGATTTCGTGCAGTTTTGTTTTATTTAGCAAAAAACCAACATTTAATTTATAAGTATTATATGTATAGTAGAGCTGGCAAAGGCAAGCAGGAAAACATTCGTTAAAAAATGAGAGCAAAAATGTTATACAAAAAAAAATGTGTATGTAGTATTTACAAATGTGTGCATGGGGGGAGGGTGTGTATGTGTTTAATTTTCAAGGGTGTGTGAGGATATTAATGGAAAAAAGTGCAAAAATGGGGAAGAATTATATTGAAAAAATCTTTAGAAATTCAGTAGAATATACGAGTATTAAAATAGTATTTTCATTACTTTTGCACTTCAACCGCTGGGTGAGAAGAGGAAATTCAATTTGAAGCAGCTGCTGCCTTCTTAGAAAATATGCTAACAACGCAGTATCCTTGACTCGCAGACGACCTAGAAAATTGCTAAGGCCTTTGAATTTTTTCCCCAAGGCCTGGATAAAAAGTTTTGATATTTTTTAATGCTTCGATTTTTCGCCACCAGCACAACAAGCTTTAAGTCGACTAATTATTTAACTTTCTTTGCAATGGGTACTTGTGTAAAACAAAAAAATACCAGAGCAAAAAAGCAGCAACTCAAGACTTTTTCTAAATCAATTAAGCATAAAAACGCAAAATTTTGTAGTTTTCGCGCGTTTCACGAAATTCACACTACACAAAAATGTTTCAAATGTTGAAATATTCACTCTACAATTTGCAGAAATTCAATATTTTCTATGTAGTATGTATATCTATTTTTTCTTGGATATATATATATATATTTTTTTGTAGCCTCGTCTACAACTATACAACTACCGTAAGCGCGTTTTGAGTGCAACCGTTGCGAGCAAAAGACACTTTTAATCTGTTGCCTGAATTTTGAGAATTCTACCTGAACGTTGTGTCTCTACATCAAAAGGAGTTGGCTCGGCTCGCCTATGCAATGCATGTGGAGGCATGCATGTTGTTGGTTAGCTCGTAAAAGCTTCATGAAAGCACGACGCGCGCAGAAATGCCCTGTAGGAAAGCTCAATAGTACTATTTGTTTCTATGTAATAAGTA